TTTTTTTTATGAATGGTTAAATTATTGATTTCTTACTCTTTAAAAAAATCCCATTCTCTTTATTGATAAATTAACACGTGTTACATTCTTTTTAGTCTGAACTATCTTTTTGAATGCATTTTTTTTATGTTTGTGCAGTTCACCATCCCTGGCAATTTTTTTGTTCAGGTGTGTTAAAAGATAAAATAAAAAATGATCAAATTTTAAATTTGATGATAAAAGTGTGAAAATTTTAATTGTATCTTCCAAAGTCTTAGGGTGAAAACAGCTTTTAGGTTATTTAAAAAATATGTTAGATTTAATCAGTCATCGATTTATGTAAAACATACATACTTTTTTATTAATACTATATATACATATTAGTTATATATTTATTCATATTTAAAATCTAAAGTTGTTGACATTGAAGAATAAATCTGTCTCATTTAAACGTCTTGTTTCAAGATATGTATTAACGAAAAGCTAAATGAAGTTACTTTGAACATAAATCTAAAAGAGATATGCTTCTATATTTACAATTCATTTTCTTGAATTTTAATCACTCTAACGAGTCAGTAGTTTTAGCCATTATATATATATATATATATATTTTAAATAAGGGTAGTTTGATTTTTGCTCTTATTTCATCATAGATAGTATTTAGACCTTAAAGACACATGTATACTGTATAAATAAATTAGACTACACTATAATATTTCAATTTTAAGTCTTGTATACTATATATATAATATATATTCTTGTATTATATCTTGAGTAATATTTGGATTTTCATAATTTTAGTTTATTTTTTCAAGAAAATTCATCGTTCACCTATTGGCCGAGGAGCTTAAAATTTATAGTGTATCAAAGCTTTCTTTAAGAAACTGAGGTATAAGAAGATTAGAACGAATTTCTTTATAAACAGAGGGAGATAATAAAAAATAAAATATTATTGTACTCATTTTTCTTATTATAAGAAGTTCATTAAGGTGGTATCATTTTTAAACAAAGATTGAGTATTAAAAATGATGTATAAATGCTTGAGTATCCTTTCAGAAGAACTTGGCATAGTTTAGAGTAATTTTAGCCAAAGATGGTGTTACTGTTTTGATTAGAACATTAAGTGACAGTTGCAGTTGTGATGCAGAATGTGCAGGAAGCAGACAGAGGATCAGAGGGGTTTTATATTCGATCAGGAATCATTGTGGTGTTAAAAGACTCTGAAATAACCAATGATACAATCATTTAATCATCACTTCAATTTTTCACTCAGAATAAAGGGCTAGCTCAACCATCAATTTTTGAATCTTCTTCAATCATGGGAATCAAACAAACTACACATTTATTTCACTTCCTTCAACATTTTTGTTGGCTCATTCAACAGAACAGCCAACAAAATCAAATTCTTTCTACACCTTTATTTGTATGGCTGATATAAGCCAAAATGGTTAAAGATTAGTTGAGATTATTTGCAAGATTGAATATTACTTTTAGTTTAAAAGAAATCGATTACAGAAATAAAAGAAGCATATCTCATTCTGGTTTAATCATCAACTTTATCCAATATGCAAGTATCAGTAGAATTCATTTTTACCAATCTCTAACTTCTGAGGAATCTTCCTTACATTGCAGGGTACAGTTCCATGCTAACAACTTCTTAACATTTCTTGAGTGTCTATTACAAAAAAACCTCAATGCTTTCATACTCTTAAATAATACGCCACCTCCCTTTTCTGCATAAACCTCTTTATTTATCCTTATTTTACCCACACATAAAGACCCTTTTGTATTTTTCTCTGTTAGCAACTTTTTTTTTTTCTGAAGCTTTATAGATGGATTAACATCAGTAAATCAGTATGGTACCCTTCAATTAATCCTTTATGAACTGACTTTTACTTAGTTAACCTTGAAGCGCAACATAATACAAAACAACACAGACTTTTAAATTTAATTTCTTTATTATTTTGTGCAGCAGCATCACAGAACAGAGAATGGTGTTATCTCAATTTTCACTTTCCTTTTCTTTCTCAATCAACTTGTGAAAAACTGAACCTTTTAACTGATCACCTTGTTGTAGCTGTACCATCTCTACGCCTTGAATTAACCAAAAGAAACTGAAGCAATTTCCATTAGTATTAGAAAATTTCAATCAACTGGAAATCTACCATTAAAGTCAGTAAGTAACACAAGGCATGCATTTGTCTGTCCCTTTCCCCATATTCTCTTTGACATAAAAAATCATGTTAAAATTCAACACCATCATCCTTTATAATAAATACTCCAACATCTTTTATGATGAAGGTTTAATCCATTCTTTTGTAGCCATCGCTGTCCTTAACAGCATCATCTTCCTCAAGAAAACTTTTCAGTAAAAAACATCAGACAACTTCCTTAATTTCTTCTGGATTCACGCTCCATCTCCCATTTATTTCCAGCCCTTAATTATTCCCCCATTTGCATATTTATGCTAGTAATAAGAATAATGCAGTGTTCTCCATCATCGCCGACTTCCAACCACTTTATTTTGTTTTTGGCCTTATCACGCATTGAATTTATTAGACACAAAACTCAGTTTAGCTACCTCATTTATTAATTAAAAGGGTCCGTTTGAGTTTTCAATTTTGATAGAATTGATTTCTCTGTAACATTTATTTTGAGAAATGAATTGATGAGACATGATTTTATTATTTAGCCGCTAAACTCAAATTGTTTACCAGTATAATTCTCTTATCTTACCCCCAGAATTAACCCGAAGGAAAGCTTAATTTTTTGCTTAATATCTATAATGAAATATACATATCCACCACAGAAATATTGAAAAAGGAAAAGCAGTTACGTGATTTTTCAACATGAACATATACTACGTGTAACGTGATTCAAAATTATGAATGCTGTACAAACACTCACAAAGAAATAAACATTCATTTTCGTACATATTAAGGAAAATGCTTACAAACTGTCCCTGATATATATCATTGGACCCATATATATATATATATATATATATATATATATATATATAATTCCTTCACTCGCTTTAATTTGTTAACAGCACATGGTATTTTCCTAGGAACACGTCCAGTAAGGGGAATATATGTTGTAACATACATAAATGGATGTGAGGTAGTGGTGGAATTTAATGGTTTTGTACTAAGCAATACTTGACATTTTGTGGGATTGTTGATCAATAATTCTGGTAGTTGAAGGACTGTTCTGGAAGACAACTTCATAACCATCATAGAAATTGTCCATTCCTTGAGCCATGAGCTGCCAAAAAAGCCCTCCAGCACAGGGTCCCCCACTGATAGCATTACTGTATATTGCATTATACATTTTGCTCAAGTAACTGTCCCTTTCAGCCACACTGTATGACCTACAGGACTTCCCAAATTCACCAACGACAATAGGTTTCCCAAGAACATTTTTCGAATCCTCAATGTGTGTTTGTAGCCACTTGTCAACAAATGCAACCTGAGCAGCTTCATTTGAGCCTGGCAGCCTGCATGTACATTTATATTATAACTTATTATTACTTTTCTTCTTTATATTAATTTATAAGTGAAAACATATGTATATATATATATATATATAATTATTATATGTCGTACGTACCATTGTTCAGGGTAGAGATGCATGGTGGCAAAATCGACATGATGAACTAGGTTGTTAGAAATGAAATCAGTGCCAATAAGTTGGTACCCGGGATTGATTTGTTTTCTATCTTCACCATAGAACCCTTCGAGTCCTATTTCAAGTAAATGATTACTATCGATGGATTTGACGTATGCAGCCATCTCAATCACCCATTCCTGCAAATGCATGACGTACATATATATATAGTAATATTCTCAGTAGCATATATATAATAATTATATATATCTATAATTGAATGATTAACAACCAAGTTTAATTATTTTGATATATTATTCACATTCGCAGCGATAATATTGAATAATCGGTGGCCTGTTTCATTTGGGAATCTTGAATTGAAGGAAAGGAATAACATGACAAGTGTAATTATATATATGCAATATGCTGTCAAAATATCAAGAAAGAATGCCAAACAAAAGCAATCACATATGTGTTGCGTATGTGGCCAGTTATTGTGCATATATGTATGTACTATGATGTTTGGTAATATCTAAACTATAGTAGTAGCACGAGAGCAACCGAGAAAGGACCTGAATAACTTTTCCGGAGTTGTCGTGTTGGGAACGGGGTTCGTTCATAAGTTCCCATGCAAATATGGCAGGATCGTCCTTATATGCCACCCCACTTACTGTGTTTTTTCTCGTCAGCACAGCCTGCATATTTGTAAACCACAAAGAATTAGTTACCAAGTTAATTAAAAAAGTGAAATTTGAAGAACATCATTGTTTTTTAAACACATAATGAATCTACGAGATTGATTAGTTTTTGGATAAAAAAAGCATTAAACGTAGTAATAATATATAGTTTGACAGTGAGAGGTGGTGATGTTTATATTTCTAGAAAACGTAATTATGGTTGCAACGGCAGAAACTACACGCAAAGAAATAGGTGGTCCACCACTACTATAGTTGTTGTGGCTATGCTGGTGTGCATGCATGGCTGGATATAGTTACCTTGATATGGTTTTTGAAGTGTTGTTTGGCCAAAGGATGCGTAAAGAAATCATCTTCAGTGTTCACGTACTCACCATGCTGCTTCACCCATTCCACATACTGATTTTTCCCACCAAAATCTTTCCAGTTGTTCACCAAGCTCAGTATCAATCGTACACCATTTTTTCCCGCTTCTGATATCACAAAGTCCAATCCCTACGCAACACGCATGCACTACTTCATCACCATGGAATTTCACAACAAAGAAATCTTAATGGAAGATGGATTCAGTTAATATATACTGACCCTGAATACTTTCTCGTCGTATGAACCAGGAGAAACCTGAAGGGCTCTGTAAGCTCCATCGTTGAAAGCCCAAGTTCTGGCAACGGTTAAGCCATGGCTGGAAGCTTGTTGCAAAACGGAAGTGACCTTGGGCCTCGTTGATGGGTCAGATGCCATTAACATTAACCAGTAAGCGTTGAATCCGTTGAAGTAGAAACGCTTGTTGTTCAGAACAAAGTTGGTGCCGCTTCGTCGAACGAAGCCACCGTTCTGAACTAAATTGCGTGCTGAGTCACGAACATGATCAACACCTTCCTCGCACCTTACATTTTGAACAGCCACCATGGCCACCATAAAAGCAACCATCAACACCATGCTTTTGAGACCTCCTTCCCAATTCATTGTTTAGCTTCCTGATGAGAATGAAGTCAGAATAAAATATATCACTACCAATGCTATCTTCTCTCTCTATATATACATACTATTTAACGTAAGTAACTACATATGCATATATAGTAGTAAACAGTATTTATGATAATGGTTTTTAAATCAGCTAAGTAAAAAAAAAAACAGTATTTTTTATGCAATAAACTTCTACACTTTTTTCTCCTGTCTTTCTCTATCACATAATGGATAATAACCAACAGTTTAAGAAATACAAAACTTAAAGTTTAGACTTTTAAGTATAAATTTAACTTGGATAGGTTTAATCTGATTTAGTCATAGAAAGCAAAATCACGTAATATAGAACCCTAAATATCCTTTGTATTGAAATTTGAAACTTCAAGTCAAGATAAAATTTAGTTTTGTTTTGTTTTGTTTGACCTGCTATAGTTTCAAATTTATAACAGACACAACAACATATTTTATCTCCTCTACTTATTTTATAATAAACTTGTCTATCATGTTTTCCTTTCTCTCTCATGCAGAATTTGTTATAAGACGTAGCAATAAAATAATTAAAACAGTGGCAGTGCAGTTCTCTAAAAATAGTGACCGTGGATTCCACGTCTAATAAAACTAAGTGTAATCAATTCCATTTTTAAAGTACTACTTTCTCCTAATAGTCACCAAAATAAATAAATAAAATAAGTAAATTTTCAAATATTGAACGCCATACTAAATATTTCTCAAAGTATAAAAAAATATTAGCAAAATACATTGACGTAAAAGCTAAACTAATGAAAACTTACATAATTTAATAAATACTTTGAAAGATATTCAGTAAAGAAAGTGGTGGCTATAGTAGCAAAATTGATTATTTATTTATTAAAAGTAACTAACCAAGGAGAAAACACAGAAAGAGAGACTAGCTAGGACGGCAGAGCATAAGCTTTATTGAAAAGTGGAAGAAGAAGAGTTTGTGGGAAAAATGGCATATTCTTGGGGCTTTTTATAGTTATAACGAGACAAATGTACAAGAGAAGAAGGGTTTCACTATTACAGATATGCATCGAAACAGTTTTAAATAATTAGGTACATGTCATTATTTTAAAAATTTAAGTATGAGTTAGCACTTTAGAATTTTCTAATTTATGTTATGCAGACTCTTTTAATTATTTTCATGCTTCAAAGAGATACAATGTATACGTATGACTATATTCTATGCAAACTCTTTTAAGTACGAGTTTCGATGTAATTCATGCAAATCAAACACATTTGGTTGGTTCTATTGTGTATTTTCATCAACATCACCAGTTAAAAG